AAAAAGGTTTTTCTACCCCTAAACCCTATTCTTTGGGTCATTAGTTTACCTAATTCCTGACTTTACCTCCACATACATAACAAATCGTTTACCATTCTCTCATCGATTAGAGTAATTTTTGCAATTGCTTGTATACAAAAATATTTAAACAACATATTAACTCAGAAATTATACTAATATCTATGTACATAGGACTTCGAATCCCAACACTCTTGGTTTTCCCCCTCACTATATAAAACCCTACTACTCCATCAACAAAATATATTAACATTATCCCCTAGGAGGAGGCAAAGTAAGGGGGTCCCCCCATCGTTTTTTTTGTTTCTATAATCCTTGGGGTCCTGCACTTACGATTCTTCAATTTATTAAGAAAAGAATTTGAGCCCCAAAAACATTCTTCACGCAGAACTTGAAATGTGGATGTGTGAATTTACATTTGCAATGGATCCATTGGATTGTGACTTGTTGCCCTACTCATCACATGCTGTGTTTTCCTTGTCAAATGGTCCAAATGCATAATCAATCCATGGATGAAATGTGCCCACTTGGCTCTTCCAAATGTTTGAAAATTTGACTGAAATGTTGCTTCATGAGCCTACTTCTCTGACCACATTCTCCACATGGCAGAGATTAGAGAAGTCGGCTAACCTCCCCGTTTTGCTATTTTTTCTTGTGCTCATCATGTTTGTTTAGGCCTCATTCGTTGGGTGGCAAATCATGGGAGTATTTGTGCTTTTAATATTTCAGAAACCACATCATAATCAATTCAATGCTTTTCCTTTCATTAAAACGTGTTTATCTTCAACTCTTTTTTATTATTATTTATATATATTTTTATTTGTAGTAATATGTACATATATTTTCTTATGTTGATTGTTTATGATTTCCCTTCTTATGATATGTGATGCTTATATTGGATGGGATTCTCTAAAATTTACATGAATTGTAATTGTTGATGCATCGTGAGTTCTATAATTCTTATAATGTATAAACAACTGACAATCGCTTATGCACGTATGGACAATTATCACTCAGTTTACACATAAACGGATGACAGATTGTAGGCTCATTGCCTATCATAGGGTGAAATGACATGTGAGCATATATAAGAAGAGTTATGAAAAGGCTGAGCCTTGATACTCGATTGCATTACTAACAATTTCTTATTCAATTATGGGCAAAACCAACTGTTCATATTAAACCCACAATTAGGCCTAGGAAACACAACTCGCTATCACCTCACCTATTTCTTCAATGCACTGATGTGAGGTTTTGTTCTGTAAAAGCTTAGGATCAATGGTAGACGTAGAGGACCTAGCAAAAGTAAATTATATTTCATATTGTATAGGCAAAAAGACTGAAGTAGTAATCAATTTTGAATTGTGCCCTAGTTTCCTTTCCTTTAGTCACATAATTCAAACTTTTACCGACTTTTGGCTGTAGAACTTGTAGACCAGGGTAAAGACCTAGCAAAAGCACCCACATGGCTGTCCATGGAAAACTACATCAGCATCAATACTTGCACATATTGCGGTATCAAAAGAGATTTATATACAAAAAAAGAAGAAGAACAAACTAGGCGAGGGAGAAGGAGTGTGTTAGGCCTTTTGGGGCAGAGGATACTAAGTTTGTTTTGACCCCTATATGAAATGAATTAAAAGGGCACAATGACCTTTTGGCTTTCTGATTTATGGGTCCCTTATTCTTTGAAAGTTTTTCATAGCTTTTGTTTTGATGTGAAGCACTTCTTTTAAAAGCTAATTCTTATGCGATTCCTTTTTTTTATTTTTTTCTCAACACAAGGATAAGGTTGGTTTAGCTTTGATTTTCAGTCATTAGTTTATGGTTTACAACTTGTTTTAAGGAACTTAAAGTTGGATGCATTTCATTGCAGGCCATTAGTTTCTTAAAGAGAGATAGAGATAGAGAAAGCAAAGGGATATATACCTAACAAAGGTGAATTGCCTTGGAAAGTTTGACAATTTGTTTGGTTATAATTTTCTTCGAGAGATTTTATGACAGTAGGGTCATTAAATCATTGAAAAGTCATGCAATATTGGCCTGCACTTTTGACTATCCCAAACTGTAAAGAGCATCAAATGTTCAAATTTGACACAACCAATATGCATGCCGGCATCAAACCAAGCTTTAGTGGGTGCCTTTAGATTGGCTGGCTAGCTACCCACTACTTAATTGGGTCCTTAAAACGATTTCCATATTGATGTCGAATTGTCTGCAAAAAAATGTAGAATTTGCTGGCAAATTTTTTGTTTTTGTTTTGTTTTTCATACCGGCGATATTGGAGAGTAGGATTCGAACACAAGAATTTTCCATTGTTTATATTCTAATCTTAATGAATCAATGCATTCATAAACTTTGTCATATTTTTATTACTTGCCTTGCAAGTTAAAGAAAAAAGATTTCGTAACAATGGTATATATATCATTTATAAATATATATAGGTGGGTTTACAAAAAAACTATGATCTGATCAGTGGCCAGCTAGTGCTCAGATTAATTAATTAAGTATATGATCATACTATGGAAGTGCTTTGCATTAGATGCCCTTCTTCTTTGCCTTCTCCTCCAGTTGTTTGTTCCAACATTTGATGAGGAGGATAGAAGAACTGAAACTTGAGATCATTGTCACCACTGACATACACCACTCGAAAGATGTCGTACTTAATCTCAATTGACACGCTTTCAAAATAGGGCAGCATTGCTTTTCTCTGGTCTGAATTTAGAATCCATGAGTAACAATATTGCAGAGATTTCCACACAAAAAGAGAAGCAATTCTTGGCTTGGTTTGGCATTTCAAGCAAACACCGGCAGCCACGCCTTCCATCTTCTGGAAACCGGACTTGAACATCGCTAAGCATGCGTAAGAGACGTTGTTCATGTTGCCGCCATTGACAACCGCTGTGCTCATTGACACCGTGTCACCTCTGCAAAATTTTGCAGCACAAGACCTGTCTCTTGATTCTCCGCCGTACGCATCAAAGAAGGAGTGTTCGAGTAAGATAGCCATGCTCGACATGTTTGTTAACATTGAGAGCTGAATGGGAAGAAAAATCACTAGCTATGAGAAACATGGGGGAAAAAGTTATTTGCAATGAATGGTTTTGATGACTTTCAAAATTGTGACATGATCAAAAGCGTTTCGTAGCTTGTTGGATTTCAACAACGCACTCGTTGGCAATTCAGCAGGCATGACGAAATGCGCACACAAATGCACACACATTACTTTATATGCATAATAAGAGGGAACAATTTTATGGAGTAATGCAAGATACAAGCACTAAAATCCTAACCCTAATTTCTGGCTATTGGATATTTTAAATCTTTGTTCTTGATGGAAGTGACTTTGGATTAATTCCTCAAGTTCAATTAGTAAGTCCAAGTTTAATAAAACAAGTTTTTGGAGTAAAATCCATTGATTGCTTAGTTGGTTTGCTCCATCTCCAAGTAATATGCATATATCAAGATTAAAACGACACCGTAACGGCATACATGACAGCAAGCAAGCTACCTTTTTTGTCTTGAAAAAAGAAAAAGAAAAAGAAAAAGAACTAGAAAAGAATTTATAAGAGCAAGGTATGAGTAGCTAGTAACTGGACTTACAAGGCTTGCAGTCAATGAGTCCTTGTTTTCACAAGATCTCTTCAGCCATGCTCCAAACCATATGATCTGAATATCAAGGGGAAAGAAACCAGATTAATATCAAATACGTACTACTGAGATGAAATTAATTAAACAAAAATATTATTTTAAACATACCATATTTCCATGGATGCTCTGCAAGATGGAGCTTTGTACACAGCCAAGAGACTCAGTGCACAAAGAGAATTGTTTGAGGGCATTAAGAAGGTCATCAACCAGCACAACAGTTGGTCTGAACACGAAGATACTTATGTCCAAATTCCTGTTGTTGAAAGGCACAAAGCATGCCATAAATTACTCTCTCTCTTTTTCCTCTTCTAGCTTTCTATGTGTGTATGTGTGAAAATAATCAAAAGCAGAAAACTGGAAACTTCGACGAGAAAGTGTGGGAAAGTTGTGGCCTTATTAAGTACGGGGTGGTTGGAAAGCTTGGAAAATGAAACTTGATCAAAGGGTCATTGCAGTTTGCCTGGTCGTCTTTCTTTTGGCTTGTGTTGAAGCGGCGAAAGGGAGACTAAAAAGACTTGGCATTTTAGTCTGGTGCATGCTTTGACTCTTTCTAGATGGATGGAGTTGTTGAATTTACGTTCTAAATTTAACTACAAAAACATTAGAAAAATGCATGGAATATGTTTTCGAATTCTCTTTTTATATCAAGTATTATTGAGAAATATAATTAGAAATGGGTGTTGTCGGGTCAAGACTTTCCAGGACCTTGTAGTTGGAAAAACTAGCGAGCTGCTTATGTTCTTTTACCAATATTTTTTTATTGATACAATTATATTTTAAGGGGAGATGGCAAACTTAATAAAACCTATGTTTCATGAATTTTTTTAAATTAATGTTCTTTGACATATTACACACAGGTGGCACGTTCTGATTGGACAATGAAAATGAGTCATGGTGGCAATGTCAGCAATGAAATCCCAAGAAATTTGATTAGTTCGAGAATTTTGGCAGTCACAAAAACAATGGGTTTGACTGGTCAACCAGAAGGATGCCTTCTAAAAAAGGACAAGTCTCTGTCTAATCTCTCTACCGTACCAGAGATTCCTGAAATTTCTTCATCAAAGCGCCATGCTTCCACAGTTCCACCCAAGTCTACATCGCATGGCATGTTTTGGCTTTTACTCATAGGCATAGAATGGCCATATGATGATGGTTAATAGAAGCTTTTGCCTAAAACATAATTATAATTTGGCTCAAGCTTCGAAACCTTAAACTAATAGTGTTCAGTTATTGTTCCTCGTGAGGCTTACCAAATCTGTTTATCAAATTTGTACACTGCAATCATCACATCATTTGAATTATTACTAATTAGCTCTTAATCTAGTGTGATGTTTTATTCCAATGATGAAAGATGTCATAAATTCGAATTCCTCTCCCTCCATTGTTGTTACAAAGAAAAAGTAACTACAGAATTCCATGGATTGAACACTTATCCGAGTGGAAAAAATGAAAAGAATTATTTAATGCAAGTGTTTCCAGGAGCTCCACCTGCTCTAACATAGCTTTAAATTTTGAGGTGCCTCCAAATTTATATCCACTCTCTTCAATAACTATGATTCATCAATCACCGGCTAACAAAATTACAAGGCTCACATCATAATTCGAGTTTTTCGAGCATAAATTTCCTAATCCTTGTAAAATTATTTTACCTCTTCAGTCACTGCAACGATAAGGTGAGCTTCAAGAATATTGCATCTGCTTCCTCCCATCAACATGGGATGGAAACTGTATATAGTATATACTATATATCATTTTAAAACACACCTACATTAACCTGCATGTATAACATCGAAAAACATGAGCAGTTTTGTTCATCTTACAACTCTATTGATATTTGCAAAAGATAACACGAGACACAAAAATATATTTTAATTCATTAGTTCAAACGACTTTAATGCTGTTCAATTCGAATCCCACTGTTATGCGTTCTCATTTCACATCACTTAAAAACTCAAAGATGCATGTGGTCTCAGTTGGAGGGAGGTTGAGGAAAGGATTCAACGAGGAACATCACTCCATCGATGAAGGATGTACAATTTTGCTAGGTTAAGAGGGAGCAGATATACAGAAAGGCGAACAGAAAAGAAAGAACAAAATAAAGGAAACAAAAGAAACAAAATTGTCATATTATATTCTTTAAATAAGTTATAATAAGAACCAGATGTTTCATTGTCCATTTAATTAAGTTCTCAGTATTCTTTGCAGTTCAAATATGTACTTGCATTAATACCAAAATTCACAAATTGCCCGACTAATTGAAAGAGTTCTAAGAATGCAAGCACACCTTATCATAGGTCCATGGGGATTCTCAAACCATCATGCGCAAGCTGCACTGGTATCCCTTCCCTATATTCAAACAACAGAAATGCTGAAAGCATAAGTTTCTTAAGTCGCGATATTTCTCACCTATACAGAAAGTGCATTACAAAAGTAGTACCATTGTTCAATTTAGTCTTAACTCTAAACTAAAGCTAGAAGATTAATGCCACAGAACACTGGGACTGCTATCCAATTGAATAAAGGAAAGTGATCATAATTCTTACCTCTCAGACCATTCCGTAAGAAATTTATTGTCCTTGTGGTGATCAAATTGATGAGTCATTCCAATTAACAAGGCTTGTTTTGGACAAATCCTCTTCACAGCTTCAAGAGTCTGCAAACATTATAGTTCACAAGCACGAACATTTGGCTATAAGAAATGCAGATGTTTTTTAGTGCAAAAAACAAACCTGTGGGAGGCAAAGGTGAACATTATGGGATCCAGTCTGCAATGAAACAAAAGGCAAAGCAGATTATGAAGAATATGCCTTGAGAATAATAGGAAATGCAAGACAAGCGAACCTCCAAAAATGAAAGGACGGACATGAGTTAGCAGAGTTTGAAATCACAATTTCCGCTGGTATACACGAATGCAGATTGATGTATGAATGAAAATATACAATTATATTTTAGAATGACACTACGAAATTACCTAAAAGGACAACATAAATGGAAAAACATCAATTGGGGGATGCCATGGCAGCATCCTTGACTTAGGGGCTGCCCAAATAGAGAAAGCAAGATGGTGGGGTTGGTGGTGGAAGGAGTGAGAGGATGAAAAGCAAGAGAGTTGCAATGGAGGAGTAACAGAATGAAATGGAAGATATAGTTTTCCCTATAAAATTTCCAAAAGAGAATGTAGAACTGACTGGCAAAAAAAAAAATCTGACTAGAACCAAGCACTGTGAATTTGTGCACATGTGTCTATGCTTGTGCTTGTACATTTGCATCTGTTGAGAGACATTATTTTACTTGCATGGCATGCGTATTATCCCAAATGCAATCTCCATGCCTACAAGGGTGAGTCAGAATAACTGTACAAATGATGGTGTGTGAAAACAGACTTTCTACTGACCTTGTATAGAGTGTCCAAGATAAGAAGATCCAACTGCCCAGCTCCATCTTTTGAAATGACTGCAAAATTAGGCCAGAATATAAATTCAAATGTACGTTTTTATTTTTCCAAATAAACACAGAGAATGCCTTGAAAATGACAAAGCACATCAATATTTACACGTGACAAAAACAATGGTGAACTACATAGAGGGGTGGGGTGGTGTTCACACTTTTCCATAAGGAACAATCCCCGTAGCCAATGAACTAATTCACTTAATAAAACATTTTTCTTATTAAAAGTGATAGATAACCTGTCATCATTATCTCTGCATATATTAATGGATTCATCACAAAAGTACAAACTAAAATGGAAGGGATAAAATGACCCATAGTATTCATACTCTCCTTCGTAAAGGGTTTCTCCCAGTGCTTTGTTGGTGAAGTTGGGAGTAGAAAGGGAAAAACCAACTCAGTTAATAGGACGATGTTCTAAGAAGGGATCCTAAACATCTTATCTTCAAATACTCTAACAAAGTTCAGATTTCTCTTAATCATGATTGAGATGATTAAGGGTACTTAACTAATTAAGGTATAAAATTCAATGTGCACTGATAGTATAAGGAATATCCCTAAAGTACAAGGAACTAATCAACACTCACCGTGTTCTGTGCTTGCAGGAAAGCGAGACACATCAGATATGTAGGCTATTCTACATCTTTCACCAAATAGATAACCCAAACAGACATAATCTTCCCCGTGCATCACCTACATTTGAGGAATAGCAGTATGAAACTAGAAGATAAACAAGGAATAGGATATTCATGTCTGACTAGAAAAGGTTTGGCGAGAATAACTGGCAAAGGAATAAATTGTAGGCCAGATGCAACAAACGATGTTTCACAATTCTCCTCAATTATCCTCCAGTCAAGCTGTGCTACTCGTCTCAGTTCTTTTCCTTCCTCAACTTTTTTCTTCACCAAGTAAGAAAATTTCTCTGCAATGCTATTCAAAGGTACAACAAGCATAATAAGGTGAACTGCGATTTAGACATAAAAACTGAATGACAAAAAACAAAAATCAGATAAAATGCCTAGAGTAGTCTTCTCATGAGTAACATCTATAATTTTCATTTTATGATGTGAATCCTAAGTTTTGAGTCTGCATTCATGAAAGCAGACTAAGGCTCGTGTTGCCATGACCAATCTATCATGGTGGAAAATTTTACATTCATACATCCAAAAAAATTTGCTCTAGGAACTATTTCAATGAAAGCAGATAGAGCAACTAGATACCAAGAGCACATCAAAGAATCATATGGTCGTCAGTATCACAATTATATCTAGATAAAACAAAAAAGCAAACGGAGTTGACGTTGGTCAAAACGGTTGAACAGAACAATATCCAAGTTCACCCAAAGTACCTCTCCATTGCATACTGAGTTAGGTAGATGGGAGTAGGGTCAATGTCATTTGTGGGACTATGTGGTTGAACGGCACGTATATCATCCAGACCAAGAACTGCATCAGCGTGTTCATGAGTCAAAATAATCTGCAGTTAATACAAAAATTAGTTCTTATAAAGTCCCAGCATTAACAAGCTTTCAAGTACAAAACGAAACGTATAGTGTTGTAAATAAAGTTGAACTCTTGTACAACTATCCAAGCCAAAAAATAAACATGCATTCGTCTAAAACATTGATTTTAATAGGCCAAATGTTCTGAAAAGAATAACTAGCTAGCCATACACGCGAGAGACAAAAATGTGCATAAAGAAAACTCACAGAATCAATTCTAGGAATCTTATAGCGAGTAAACCATCGAATCACTTGCTCCCTGAACGTCTTTCCAACATCAATCAATATATAACAGTGCTTGCCATCACTTGGGCAATAATCAATCAAAAGCGATGTATTGCACCTGCAAACACAAATCACTCAAATGTTCATTTTCCTCAACATTCTCGGCAAACAAACAAGTACACAATGACAGATCTGAACTTCAATTACCGGTAATTAGGGTTTTGGTCCGGGGGGGTGGAGAGCGCCTGAGGGCATACGTCGCAGGGATTGGAGGGCTGGATCAGGCACATTGCGTTGGGGACGGCGCTCGAGCACCCGGTCCCGAGGAAGATCAGCGCCGATCGACCGCCATTGTGGTCCTCGGCCGCCATTGGAGAGTCTAAGTCGGAAGAAGAGGTTTTCAGTTTTTCAGAGAGAAAGGAGAGAGGTGGCGCAAAGGAAAGGGAATATTTGGTTTGCACATTGGCCCGGGAAATGCGACGGTCTTATCGGTGGGCGTCTGTCTACGTGGCGTATAATTATTGGCTCTATGTATCTACGTTAATTTACTTGGTAAGTTGGTAGGAAAAGAACTTGACTGAAGAATCTTATTTAGGCTTTAATAAATAAATAGGCTTTCTAATTTCTACGTTTTTCCATTTTTGTTCTTAATTTTCTGCTAATGATTAATTACTGTTGTTCTTCGTGCTCTCAAATTATTGCTTACAACTCAAAATTTCGCACTGAACTTTACTTCATGTCCTATTTCACCATTTTTCGTCTACTCCATTTGCAAAACCGTTAAATTAATTGCGTAATAAATTAAAAAATTTAAGTTAAGTGTGAAAATTTGAGTTTCAAATAATAAACCCGATATTCGAGCCCATTGGAAAACAATAATCAAGCCTATAAAAAAATAGGGACCGTAAGGAAGAGGAGAGGAAAAAAACAAGGCTCAAAAGAATCGGAAAGACTATAATGAGGGCTTAAAGTGAGGAGGTTATTTGAGGAGGTCAAATCTCACCATCAACAAATGTAAAGAAATCATAGGACTTAAATATTTTAAATGTTTTGACGGTCGGATCGGTCTCCTCACTTTAACTCCTCACTTTAACTCCTCATTATAGAAGCTCCCCAAAAGAATATGGCTGACATTGTTGTGGACGGGCTTGGGTTGGGATTGTTATGCATCGGGAGCCCGCGCCTTTTTATACTTTCAGCATGTAACGTATGAATACGTCGTCGTTTTGTACCTGCTCGCCGTTTCCCTTTTTCATTTCTTTTTTTCCTCTTCTTCTTCTTCACAGTTCCTACCTAGTTCATACAAACATTTTCTAGTCACATTCGCTGGTCAAATTGTTCATCTCAGATTGGTTTTTTTATTCATCTTTTGTTTGGAATAGTAACTGCAATGTTCTTTGGTCGTAGTTGTTACCTTAGAATCGGAAAAGCAATTGCCTTTGAACCCACCAGCCATCTTTTTGAGCACCCATTAACCTGTGTGGAGCTTGCTGCATTTTTCTCATCATTTTCTTCAAGAAGCTCTGACCCCAGTTCTGATTTTGACTCTAAAATCAAAGCTCGTTCTGTTGAAAGTGATGATTTTGATGCTACCAGTAATGGGTATGATGGAGTTGGGAAATTGGGTGCTCCAGATTTGGGGGACTGGAGTTTCTTAGCAAGTACGAAGAATGATTGCGAAGATTATCAAAGCTCTAAATTTGGTATCTTTGATGACATTGAAGAGCCTGATGGTGAAGAAGAAAAGGATAGTGACGACGACGACGACGATTTAATGGTGTTGGGTTCGTCGAATAGGGTTCATGAACAAAAGGAAAACTTTGTTAGAGTTGAAGGAGATGAAGATGAGTTTAGGCACCCATTGGTGAGAGAGGTTTGCAGGTTACTTGAGCTTAGGTCAGGCTGGAACCCAAAGCTTGAAGGACAATTAAGGAACTTGTTAAGAAGCCTGAAGGCAAGGCAAGTTTGTGCTGTGTTGAGGTCTCAGGCTGATGAGAGAGTTGCTCTGGAATTTTTCTATTGGGCTGATAGGCAGTGGAGGTATAAACATTACCCAGTTGTGTACTATGCAATGCTTGAGGTGCTTAGCAAGACTAAGTTGTGCCAAGGGGCTAAGAGGGTTCTTCGGCTCATGGCCCGCAGGGGAATTGAGCGTAGCCCTGAAGCTTTTGGCTATGTGATGGTTTCGTATAGCCGGGCCGGCAAGTTGAGGCATGCCATGCGTGTGTTGACGTTGATGCAGAAAGCTGGGGTTGAGCTTAATGTGTCAGTATGTAACACTGCAATTCATGCTTTGGTGATGGGGAATAAGTTGGAGAAGGCGTTGAGGGTCTTGGAAAGGATGCAACTTGTAGGAATTGCACCAAATGTTGTCACTTATAATTGCTTGATAAAGGGGTATTGTGAGGTGCATCGTGTTGAAGATGCATTGGAGCTGATTGATGAAATGCCAAGCAGAGGGTGCCCTCCGGATAAAGTTAGTTACTATACTGTGATGGGTTTCCTTTGTAAGGAGAAAAGGGTGAAAGAAGTGAGGGAATTGGTTGAGAAGATGACCAAGGATGGTGGATTATTACCAGACCAGGTTACTTATAATAATCTTGTCCATATGCTTTCTAAGCATGGTTATGGAGATGAGGCTGTTGAGTTTTTAAGGGAAGCTGAAGAGAAGGGATTTCGGTTCGATAAGGTTGGGTATAGTGCAATAGTACATTCGTTCTGTAAGGATGGTAGGATTGACATGGCAAAAGAAATTGTGAATGAAATGTTCGCAAAAGGTTGCACACCAGATGTTGTAACATATACTGCTGTTCTCAACGGGTATTGCCGGCTTGGGAAGGTGGATCAAGCTAAAAAGATGCTTCAGCACATGTACAAGCATGGTTGCAAGCCAAATACCGTATCATATACGGCTTTATTAAACGGGCTTTGTCGTAGTCAGAACTCATTAGAGGCAAGAGAGATGATGAACATGAGCGAGGAAGAATGGTGGACACCAAATGCCATCACTTATAGTGTTCTGATGCATGGACTCCGTAGGGAAGGGAAACTGGTTGAGGCCTGTGATATGGTCAGGGAAATGGTTAATAAGGGTTTTCTCCCTAACCCAGTTGAAATTAATTTACTAATTCAGTCTCTCTGCCGAGAAGGGAAGATAAATGAGGCTAAACGTTTCATGGAGGAGTGTCTAAACAAGGGGTGTGCTGTTAATGTTGTCAATTTTACAACTGTTATTCATGGATATTGTCAAAAGGATGACTTGGAAACTGCTTTGTCATTGCTTGATGACATGTATCTCAGCAACAAACATCCAGACGCAATCACTTATACAACAGTGATCAATGCGTTGGGAAAGAAAGGTAGAATACAAGAGGCAACCAAACTTATGATTGAGATGCTGGGTAAGGGATTGGATCCTACTCCAGTCACATACAGGACAGTCATCCACTGGTATTGTCAAACGGGTAGGGTGGACGATTTAGTAAAATTATTGGAGAAGATGTTCTTAAGGCAAAATTGCAAAACAGCATATAATCAAGTGATTGAGAAGCTTTGTAGTTTTGGGAAGCTTGAGGAGGCTGATAAACTACTGGGTAAGGTGTTAAGAACAGCTTCAAGAGTTGATGCTAAGACATGCCATGTTCTTGTGGATGGTTATTTGAGAAAAGGGACTCCTCTATCAGCATACAAAGTGGCTTGTCGAATGTTCAATCGGAATCTGATTCCTGATTTGAAGTTGTGTGAGAGGGTGACCAAGAGACTGATGTCAGAAGGAAACTCCAAAGAGGCAGACAACCTTATGTTACGGTTTGTTGAGCGTGGATGCCTATCACACCAACATCAGGAACATTTGCAAAGCTAACGAGAACTGTTCTGAGCTCAGACTGCGAAGAGTATAATTTTTCTCCACTCAGCATTCTCTGCTGTTGAGATTCTGTCTTCGAGGGCTTTAATATGGTAAGGCCTTATTCTTCTTTATTGATTTCCCATTTGTATTTTTTCTTTGTGTTTTCCTAGCTTTCTGCTCTGTTCGGAGAATGTATTTATCTGTTAGTTGTAGATTCAGAACATGCACATCTGATAGAGTTGGTATTTGGCTACAGATGAGGAGGGAACATTTACAACGTTGGATCTTCATCTGAATATTTTGTTTAGACGGGAACGTTTACCTAGTAAGATTTCTTCAGTTTCTATAAAGTTTCCTTTAAATAAAGAAATTTCATTTTGTAAGCATATGGTAGAAAGTGGTTCAAATCCAGGCAAAGGTGGATTAGGGGTTTAAGGACATGATAGTTCTTCTCAACCCCGTGTTGTGTGTAGTCCAGCCATTTGACCCAAAAGGAAAATGTAAATTATTTCTTTACGGAAAACAACAGAAAAGAAAAAACCGGAAAAAAAGAGTGATGTTAAAGAACATGTGATAGAGACTAAGGGCTCAGATACGGAATCATGTACTTGACCCCTACTGCGTCAACTTCCATGCCAAGGGTGAGGTAGTCAGGAGAGGTGATTGTTTCCAGTAAGGAAACTGAACCCTCAAATTTGTCCCTTGTAAGTACGTTGAAAGCATATTGATCCCCTTTCTGCATTTAGAATTGAGAAGACCGACATGAATGCATGGTTGAGAGGGTGTTTTCAGCTGCAAGGAGTCAGAGGGTCAGGTTACAGTCCAGAGTTTCCAATCTGTAGTTAATTCCTTAGGTCATATGAAATGCAAAGAAAAGCAATCTGATATTTTCCTTCGCTTCATAACTCAGTTCTTCTATTAACATCAAGTATGCAATTCCTTTTTTTTTTTTTTTTGGCAGGCGATGCGCATATACTTCGTAATAGAACCCGACAGTGGAATAAGAGACTTGGTACTGCAATTACATCATTGTGCACATGGAACCCGACAGTGGAATAAGAGACTCAGTACTGCAATTACATGATTATGCACATGTTCGGGAGCGCATGTTTGACAACACCAGTTGTGCCATCATATAGAGGAATCACTTTCTGGTTATCTCAGAGGCTTGCCTTCAAAGATTCGCTTTTTTGAGCTTTCAGTTCATGGTTTCAGGAGACTGTTTCATTAACTCATAAGTTCGTAACAGATTCCAGCGCCTAGTTAGATAGCATTTGGAAGATTGACAGTTTTGGTCCTAGTTTTTCCAATGTGTACATGATAATCCTAACCCCCACCACTCTTTCTTCAATATGTAAAAGGAAACAAATAATTGTCAGCCAAAATGTTGTTGAGTGGCCTTCCTATTTTCGTTTCTGCTCATTTGTTGCTTACTGGAATTATAATCAATTGTACAAAAAGAAAGACAGAAAGCGTGGTTTTTCTGGAAATTGTTGAAAGGTCCCCTCTACACGTGATCCACTTGACAACTTTTAATATTGTCTCCTCCATTATTGATCATATCTCATATGCAAACCAAATGTATAGTACTTTAAAATATTTATCAGAGAGTTTATCATGGAACCAAAAATAGGGTTTGTTGATTAGTGTTGCTTATCGAGGCCATCTCATAATTGAATATCCACATTCAACACAAGTTGGAAAGATGAAAAGGTGGAAGCAATCTTCGTGTAGGAATATATATGCTGTGGGGGGCTTTACTTTTGCATTAAGGATATAAAAAGGGCGTCTTTATGTTGAGAGCCACACCACACCACACCACACCACACATGGAACTTCCTAGCATGTCTGCTTCATGGCCAACCTATCCCACTACAAAATATTCTACTGTTGTGGGAGTTGGGTCAGTTGGCCAATGTAGTATGTCCGCCCCTTTGTACTCGAGTTCGATCACCATGTCCTACGTTAGAGTAATTTAGAATATCCCATTGTCAAAAAAAAAATCTATTGTTGCATGCATATTTGCTTCTTAATATCATTGTTCATATTAATCTGTCACTAATCTTAGCTTAATATCATCATTCATATTAACTTGTGACTAATCTTTGTTTACCCAAGTTACATTAGTGTTTGAAGCACCTGATGAATCTTGTGTGGAACTAAAACACCAGCTCTGCATTTAGTCTCTGCCCACGTTGTGTCCTGTCATGTAAGATGTCTGAGAGACTGAGCCCATTCTTGTTGGAAGCATATGCTCGAACCGTATTTTGGATTTTTTTTTTTAAATGCAAGAACTTGAATTTGATTAATGAAAAGGCCATATATTACATGCACAAAAAGGGTTGAAATAGTATTAGTATCAGTGTAGCATTTGTTCTTTTCAATCTTTGCTGAGGCAACGTTAATCATATAACTGGGTTAATTCACAGCCTGAACTTAGATTGAAGCTGCCTTGGGCAGACAATGTGGTCAAACCAAAAAGCTGCTTTAATGCTAAAATAAATAGCCCAAAGTGATGCATGCAGAACTTGAGACACCAAACAGCAAGACCAGCATGTGTGATCAGGCTGATACATATGGAAGCTCCATTTACACTTCGTCTCTGGGTTATGTTTTTGGACCACATCACAAAAACAGCAGACAAAGTCCGTGAGGAAATATATTTGATTATGTTTATTATTATTGAAAAGTCTCAAGTTGCCACTAGCAATACGGGATTTGCTCTCTTTATTGGCCCCGCCAGGTTATGCTTTCTCGTGGCATCAATTATGTCTCTCTCTCTCTCTCTCTCTCTCTCTCTCTCTCTCTCTCTCTCTGCACTGAGGTTTAGCTTTGCTTGAAAGAATGATGGTTATTAGCAGCACAAGTGTTGTAAAGTAGAGAGGTGAAGACAAAGCTTTTTCTTATCAATCAACTTGTGCCAAGCAGTGTCCCCTTTTGAGGTATCAGCCATCCTTTTCCTCACCTAACCTCCTAACACTTTGTCAGTAAATTGTTTTATTATTATTATTTATTTATTTATTTATTTTAATTTTATCAAATTAAAACTTCATTAGATAAACTTCAACGGTACCATCACTACCTGATGAAGCCGCACTAAAACTACTAACCTACATCACCGCAATTAACCATAAGTCCAAACAAAGCCCACAAACCCAACACAACCAAAACCCTAAAACAAACCATGAGCCTAGACGAACCCTAACACCACCACCTGATGAAGCGCTGTCGCGGCCACACCCACCACCGCATCCGTAATAGATCTGGGAAAAATATGATTTCCAACAATCTACTTGGGCATAAGAGCGAACAAATAAACGAAAACAACAACTTTGTCAAAGAACAATTTAGAGACGATGTAGAATCAAATTTAGAGAACGTGAGCGACATCAGGGAGCGGATTTTGGGAGCATGATTTGATTGAGAACATAGACTAAAAGGGGTGATGGAGAACTTCAATCTAACTATGGTTCAAAAGAAACCACTATAAGAGGCTTTTTTTTCAAACGCCCCAGTTGATTTATTCATTAACCTAAAAGGAAAATACGAGAAGAGAGGAGAGGAAGGAGGAGCATTGACGCTTCTTCCTCCTCCCCCTTCTATGGAGTTTTCCTTTAGGACTCACAGAGGGAGAGAGTGGCTAGAGTTTTTTGTCAGTACATTGTTAAATTATTGTCCCACCATACCATCTAAATAGTACCATATACAGAACAGAAGCAATCATGATATATATATATATATATATATATATATATATATAAGAACCATCTAATTATAAGTAGTCAAATAGTTTCAGATTCAAGTATTGAATTGAGTGGTTAATGGTTTCGGATTCAAGTGATTTTTACGAAAATGATCTTTAAAGGAATATCTAAAAATTAGGAAACCTTTAACAAGAAATTTAAGAGAAAAAAATTGCATCTATGACAAGCTCAGACAGACATTTTATAAGCTGGTCAGAAATGGTTGGAGACAAAAGCTTTTCCCCAATTTATTTTTGATAGCTGACTTTTCCTCAGATATTATACAATATTTGGCTTCGTCTGGTTTTCTTGGTTATGATTATCTTAATAAAGTAATTAAAAGATAGGTTACTACATATAGTTAATCTGTTCTTAATTGTATAGTATTTCAGGTAACTAATATGCCTCTACTTCCTTCAACACAACATGTAAAACAGATAAACTTACAATATTATTTGAAACGGTAAACCAGAGAGTACTGCTTAAATGAATGTGGGATGTATCTGATAAATCTTGGAGTACAATATTCCAAGAGATAACAATGGTACAAATGAAACGGCACCAAACAACTTCAGATCTAAATAATTTTTTACACGGAATTTATGAAGAATAACTCATATTATAGACGATTCCGATCATTGAAATACGTTGTTAAATAGTTTTAAAGAGGAAGTGTGCACTTTTCTTACTGTAGGCCATGCTTAACATAAAAAAACCCCCTCACTTTCAATGATATATAATAACTGTTTTAATTCTTTTCAAATTTACCAAACAAAATTCATGTATGAGGCCAAAAGTCTCATATCAGAAAGATTCTCAAGCTAATGAAATCAATTTCGCTGGAAATGTACACCATCAATCAAACGAACCAAAGATATATTAATTTGAAGTGCTATGCAAAAAGGGGAAAGAGGTAAAAGAAACATGAAAGTGCTTTTCATGATTTGCTTTCCCTCAATTATTCCCTTCCGGACTGATATTTTTTTTAAATCATACATGACAACAAATCTTTGATGTTGAACAAATTTCATTGACACTATAAATTCAATCAGCTTTATACAAGACAACAAATCCTAGATGTTGAACAAATACATTAGTCACCCACACTTTCTGCTTTAATTTTCTGTTTGAATACATTTCTTCTTCCCTTCCCCTCCTGAGTGGTAAATAGCATCAACTTTTTTTCTAGGAAAACAATAGTCTTTAGGGTTCTTTTTTGGCAGATAAAATCTGATATGATTGGATTTGTTCACTCTTCTCACACCGAATTGAGACTCTCAAAATGTACTTTTGGGACTTCGGCGCATGATCTACAATATGGCGTGTTTATTTTCAAGTTTTTGCTTTTGACTCAAAAGTAAATATTGTCTTCGGGAGGAGAATCTCCGATAAGTATTTAAGTTAATGACTGGATTGCATCTAAGAGACTACCAACACATTTAATGAATGCAATCCAACGGCCAAGATTAGAAGTACGTAACCAATCCTTAACATAAAATACTTATTGAAGAATCTCCCCGTCTTGGGGAAGCGTTGTTTTCTGATATGTAAATAAATTTTTATTACATGATTTGAGCAAAGATAATTCATTTTATACCAATTAGATGGTAGAGAAAGAACAAAAATAGTGATCCAACAAATACAAACTCATCCAAATCCAAAAACAAAGGTTGGTGTGCAAGCAGTGAAAGATGATCCAGCATGATATTTGTGGGGACAAAGCAATGAAACAAAACCCCATCATACGACGTATTAACCAAACTAAACCCATCTTTTCCAGGTAACAAAGGCTTCACCTTTCACACATTACATTCCATCCATCATCAACATTTCAATCATCCTAAAACCCCAATAATCTATAAAGAAGTTAAGAGGGGCCAAGCCAACCCCCATTACAAAGAAAAGGAAGAGAGAAAAAAAACAGAGAAAAAAAGTTGATAGCTTCCTGTCAAAGTTCCTTTTGTTCATATGATCCCTTCTTCTTCTATATATAATTAAACAACGCATTAGACTGCACTCTCTTAGTTTCTTTCACTGTGTAATTAAAATTCTCCAGTTGATAGGCTGCAAATATGGATGAGTCGTGGCGCATGCGCATGGGATTAATGCCGACCCTCCCGCGGCGGCGCTCTGCTGAGCACGTCTCCACTCGTTCGGTGTTTGCTGCCGCGGATGACTGCCAGACGCTCGATCCGGACTATTTTGCTGACGTTTTTGGGGGACCGCCGCGTAGCGTCCTCCCGCGCGAATTCTCCGGCCGCACAACTTCCTTCTACGAGGAGATTTTCCGGCCACCAGAGTTTGGTTTACCGGCGGATAAGAGAGGCCGGAGCTTGCCGGCTTTCAGGATTCCAGGGAGGAGCGAGGGGTTCTATAGCGATATCTTTGGATCGGACGACGACGGTGGCCAGCGGAGGTCGAGAGAGCGATCGAGGCCAAACTCGAAGGCGAAATCCAACTCGTCGTCGGTGCTGAGCTCGGAGGAGCTCAGCCCTCTCCGGCCGATCATCGGAGATGACGTGGCATTGTCCTCCTTCGCTTCAAAGCTCAGGTAGTGTGACTTGATCATTTCGCTGTATGCCCAACCGTTTTTTAACAGCGGTTATTTTTCTTGACGATTTTACCCCTGTCGTTGCTTTATATTTGCTTCTATTCTGCCTTGGATTTGCTTAAGTTCTGGGTATAGTGAGGGAAAACTAAATAATGATGGCGGGTGTCTGTTTTCGTTCTTGTCCGTGATAGGGGAACTTTAAAAAAATCGTTTGATTCTTTCTATTTTTCTGTTTTTTCCCCCATAGATTTCATTCTAATATTTTGAAAAACGGATTTATTGAGTTCTTTTATGCTTTGGATTTATTGGGTTGACGCTAAAATAATTTGATCGAATAAATCCGTGCGAATAGAGTCTTGTTTTTTAAAATTAATTAGTTAGTATTTGAACTCGAAATCTCTTCCAACATCTAAGTTAAATTATGTTCATAACATGTGTTGAAATGAAGATGAGTTGGGTTCTTATTTATTTGGAGTTGACAGCCTAGATCTAACCAAAAGGCCAAAACTTTATCCAATTGGTTTGAAAAATTTAGCAAACCAACTATTATGAGTTCCTCAAGTCAACACATTCTTGATTGCTACAGACCACTAAATGTACCATGTAGATGGAACTCATCGACTATGCTGCCTACCAAACAAGAAAATTCGGAGAAACAAGGCACAGCAGCTCTGCATTGCAATCGCATGTCTTTCACTGAAAACCAAGTTATGGAAAATGCACATGATGAAGGTTTTAGAAGCTCCTATTTTGGATTTACAAGAAAGGTCTTGTCCCCAGAAACCATTAGTCTCGAACCCAATTCATATCGAAGCGTCAAGCTATCTGTGGATGATCTAGAGCTCAATTCCCCATCCTCGGCAGTCTCTTCACTCTGTCAAGAACATGAGGTCAAATTTGGGATTCGGGATCGTGTTTTTGATTATGAAAAAGAAGTAATGCGAGCAGTAGAACGAGAAGAAGACGATGAAGCAATGAGCTCTTATGTGATTGAGATCAATTCTGAGCATAGGGAGGGTACATGTGAAGCAGGTGGTATTGAAGAAGCAATTGCTTGGGCCAAAGAGAAGTTTCAAACACAGAGTAATTCTGAGAAAGAAGGGAGCTTGACCCAACAGGAGAATGAGCAGTCTGTTGGAATGGATCAAGAAGGTGATCACTTGTTACTTTTTAAACTGAAACTTCATGAAGATAAACATAAGAGTAGATGTAATTTGGGTGTTTGATATGATTCAGGTACGCCTAATAATGTGGATGAATTCTCAGATAATCAGCAGAGAGATGAACTTCATGAAATGACTCAATCTCCAGAGGTAAAGTACTATTGGTTTATTTTGAACGGGCATGTAGCAACATTAAGTATTAACAAGGACAAGGGTTCAATGACATCCCACTTCCAATCTACATGTTTTGCAGGAAGAAGAAGAAGAAGAAGAAAGAACATGGGTTGCTGAAGATGAAAACCAACATTCAGAAAAAGAGGTAAGTCCTTTTACGATCGATTCTGCATAACTGTGTCATGTTAGTTCAAGTACATCAGTTTAATTAATCAACATAAACTTTATACTTCTCTGAAATATTTGAGCTACGATATGAGCAAACGAAGAATTCTTCCCTTCTTCGTAAGATGCGGATTGAAGAACAAAAATTTGATCAATATGCTGTGTCTAAAATGCCAGATTGAAATGGAGCTTTTGGATGAAGACATAAGGCTATGGTCAGCTGGCAGAGAATCCAACATTCGTTTGCTGCTTTCAACACTACACCATGTAATTAAGATCTTGGAATTTAAGTAGTTTTTCCTCTTTCAATACTATTTTTCAACTCTCCGAAGTCAAATTAATGTTAATTACATGGTGGTGTGTTTGTTTGGTGTTGACTTAATCAGATTCTATGGGCTGATAGTGGATGGTATGCAATTCCTTTGACAAGCCTAATAGAAAGTTCACAGGTCAAGAAAGCCTACCAGAAAGCAAGGCTCTGTCTCCACCCAGACAAACTGCAACAAAGAGGAGCAACACTTTCTCAAAAGCACCTTGCTGAAAAGGCCTTCTCCATCCTCCAGGTATATAGTTAACCTTTAAAAGAACATAAAGAAGAAATTATAAAGAATTAAAACAAAAATAACTCCAGGAAATTATGATGATGAGTAATGAAGTGATGCTATGCGGTTGTAGGATGCATGGGCTCTGTTCATCTCCCAAGATGTGTTCATTATTTAGCGGATCATCTGAACTCCCTTGGAACTCAGTTTTGGCTTGAAGGTGGCAATTGAAGAACCAGCAAGTTTAAGTACGCAAAATGTTCAAACTTTGCAATATTCATGAAGAATCTCTGCACCATGGATATAGGTGAAATGTAAATTAGTGCATGTCTTCATGAAGAATGTACATTTTTCGATTAACTGCGCTTGGTATTTTATCTGTATATTTTTGTTGGGAGTGTTTAAACAAAATTTTTGGTATTTATTTGTTAATACAAGAAAGCTCAAATAAGACTCGAGAAAGCATCCCAACACAGCCTTTCAGAGATGAAATTTACTGCTAGCTTCATTCTTAAAGCAGAGTAAATGCGACCCCAGGTACATCATTTTATCAGAATCTGGGAGAATTTTGTGATATCCCCAGAGTTTAATTTATATAACGAGGGATAAAGGAAAATTTTACAGAAAAAAGAAAAGCAAAATGTAGTCCTCTAAAAAAAAATATGAAAAACAAAAATAGGGGAAGAATTGAAAGAATATGATGAAAACAACGGAATATTGTCCCTCATCCTTAATAGGGACAATGACCAATTAATTGAGCTTCAACACATTATTATGCCATTATGGTGCATATCTTTTCCATCACTTGATTCTTGTAATGACTATGTGGGTGAGATCTAGGAGAGCCCTCCTTGATCTTCTGACATCTTCGTCTTCACTCTCGGGCAGAGATTCGATTGCTGATGCGGCAAGGTTTGCATGTTTTGTGGCTAGCTCCCTTGTCCTATGTATCCCATGGCTCCTACCAAGGTAGTCAAGAGCCTGTGTTTCCCAGAAATATATCATGAAGTCAACAATAAGAATTGAATTTAATAAAATTAAGGCGTACGTATACAACTTGGGAATTTCAAATATAAGGTAGTAGGACATTGGCAGAAGGAAAGATTATTTAAAAGAAAAGCCAGACTTTCAGGACTTGCCAGTAGATTATACAAACTTACGAGTTCAACATTAGCAGGGTTATCAAAGCCCTGTTCGACGACTGCACGCAACTGAGGAAACTCTTCCATGGCAAACAATATTGGAGCGGTTATGATGCCCTACAAAATCATTATATATTTTCACATAATTATGACAAAACCAGGTATCTGAAACATGAAAGCTCAAAACAAAGCAGCATGGAAAATGATAGTTGACAACTTCTCTCATTTTGCTATGAATAAAAAAGTGAAAGTTTGCTTCAACACGCTAAACGAAAAAATGCTAGCCCTGAAATATAAATTTTCTTAAGGTCAAGCATACCATACATTCTGACAGAAAAAAGCAAGCTTGTTGAGCTTTCCAAAATTGAAAAGATAAAGAATGAAAACCAATACTGTTTTCACTAATTAGTACAACTCAAACCATTCTTAAGGCCGACAGACACAGCAACAATTTCAAGCTAAGCTAGCAAACTTAGCCATTAGAGGCACCAAGTAGCTCAGTAACGAGTAAGAAAGCGAGATAGATAGACAACTCTCATTTGTTCAAACAAGGAAATCTCACACAACCAATCAAATACTTACATGACGGATGTCAGATAAAGAGCCCTTTCCAAGAGAAGCTGATGTACCCGTGAAATCAAGAACATCATCAATCAATTGATATGCCAATCCCTGAAGGGCAAAAAAAAAAAAAGAGAGTCAGCTTGATATATACATAAGCAAACAAACACAAATCGACCCATCCATCCATACATACATATTTTCTGATGGTTATTATGCCCATGCATGCACCATCAGAAAATATCCATGATTTGAGCTCTAGAAGGAAACTTTGATCTAGTTTTGATTATTTTTAGTATTTCTCCATATATGTGTAAACTCATAAAAGATCTTAGAACTTAGCTTGCTCCTCAAGAAAATAATCGGGAAAGGAGTTTCAAGGGTTCACAAACCAGATTTTTTCCATACTCAAAAGCCAACATTGCAACTTCTGCTGTATGCCCAGCAAGAATGGCGATTGCCTTGCAACTGTTTGAAATCAATGATGCAGTCTTGAAATACGTCTTTTGTATATAATATTCCATGCTGCAGTCAATATCAAAATTTACCATTATTAGCAACGTATAAATCTTAATGAAACATAAATCAAGAAACATCATCAGAAAAAAAGAAAATATATATATATATATATATAACATGAACAAGGATAAATTGAAACTACATGTATGCTGAATTGCTTGCACTCATAGATAATGGAACATTGAGTACTTTGGTAATGGAAAATTGTTTCTCACTCTTCTGCTCTCCCTACACAGCACACTACGTCGTAATAGCCCCCCCAATTTTCTTTTCTTCTCTTCAAAACCCTAAACCCTAAACCCCACATACTACCAGCACCCCTACATTGTCAAATGGTCCTCCAGAACAGGCTGAAAGTCCCTAAATTAAAGCTGTTGCAAGAAAATTCAAACAACATGAAATTATCATACCAACCCCCTCTCCTTTCTTTTTCCTTAAGAATTAAGTACTAATTGAAGAGGAAAAAGGGGGGCACACAAAATTAGAGTGCCCCATGGCAATTTTCAACAAATTTCTTTACATTAAAAGGTCTAAAGAAACAGTCTACAAGACATAGCAAGCCAACTCCAAACCTCATGAACGCCTACAGATATACTTTTATGACCCAGTAGTTTAATAACTCAAAAGCAAATTATGAGCGGAATAGGATTGTAACTGACGATGGAAAAAACGGAACAAAGATCAAGAAGTCAATGCATCATAATCACTACTTGGTCTAAACATCTACTCACATCACCTACCGAGCAAATAGCGAAAAGCAAACAAAATGTATTTATATGATAGAAGCAGCAGAGCAGTGTACCTACAACGTTGATCGGATGTGGTAGTCATTTGCATGGTTTCACCTGTCACAAGATGCTCTACAACTGTTGAAAGTAATGATACAACCTGCAAATGCACAAAAAATGTGCAGATAATATTTCAAAAAACTAATGCGAACACACATCCCTGTATCTGTGTTGCTTGGACTAGGCACTTTGGTCCATGCCCATCTCAATACAACCCAATATAATAATGGATAGGCATCCTCGTCTTTGAATTGCCAGACTAATTTTTATGAAAAGTAATAAGATGGGCTCTGAGGTGGACCAGGGACATTATGGACCCTGGCAATCTACCATTTGACTGTGAGCTCCATATCTCTGTCATATAGGTACTTACAAACTTTTCCCCCCGCGGCCCCACCCCACCCACCAGAAAAACTTTGTAGCTGTAGGTTAATAAGCATCAAGATCCTGGCTTAAAGTTAATTGACATTCTTTATGACATGGAGATGAAATACAACTACTCTAAGAATGGAGTGCCAGCACAGCGTATGGAATTTTTTGACCATTTGTGGCAGAGTCCCCTATACAAGAAACAAGACGAGCCAGAGTCCATGTAACATAGCCCCGTGTGTTATTGCTCATTTCAGTGCATTAGTACATAATAATACATGCGTACCTCTGTGTTCCTTAGAGAGGCAAGTGCGACACAAGCTCGGGAAAGCAGGAAATCCCCTGCTAAAACAGCTAACTGCATTCAATGATGGACAGAAGAGCAACTATCATATCATGCAAAACCTTTCCATAACTGTGTAATTCCCAGCACAGAATCATTAATAAGAAGGGAAACAAAAAGAAAGAGATATTATGATATATTGTAGCACCCAATCGCATATGGAATATTAAAATGTCCAATACTTCGCAAGAATTAATACTAGATGTCATTTAGCAGTAAAGGGGATCAGCAGCAGCCATATACAGGCCACAAACTAAACTCTAATAGAAACAGAGATATCAGTTGACTAGCAGTGTAAAAGACAAGGGCACGGTAAGAGTCCCATGGATTACACACTTCTGCCAAGGTCAAGTATTTATCAAACTGAGGAAGGTGCATATCCTGGTCTAAGTCGTTGGATTAAAATCTAACCGTTAATAAGAAACATGATACTTTCCCTATGTAAATACTTAATGTTATGCATGTGGACGCTCTTACATGTATATATAATTATCACAATATAAACTCTCCAATACTCCAGTAAACACCTCCATCCCTGTACTTATAATCAAACTTTTGAAGAGAGAAGAATAGAGGCATTACAATAAATTATTTCTTATAAGTGAAAAACAGGAAACTTGATCAATTTTAGTGAACCAAAAGTACACCTTATTTCCCATTACACAATTTAATGAACCAACACCTCGTCTTGTATCTGCATCATCCAATACATCATCATGTAGAAGACTTGCCACCTGACAAATGAAACTAATTACATTAGAAGCTTTTTTAGGCTTGAAGTCTTAAGAGCACTATCATATCCTTGATGTGCACAACTTAATCCCGGAATTATAATACAGACTTCATTCCTAATAAGGTAACTAGAAACTTCATAGATATAGGAGTTAAGTTATAGTATTGTAGATAAGTTGGAGGGACGAAAAGGTAAGATGATAAATTTATACTCAGAGCACTAGCTTTGGGGGAAAAAGTCTTGTTATTTGTGCACATCCACCTCAATGCGGGGCTTAGAACAAGCCATTAGAAAACAGTTTTGGAAGGACACAAATGAATTGGCCTCTTATTAGTACATTGCAGAGATATTATTCCAGTTTTATGTAGCATATATCAAAATAAAAGCAACAGTAATAGGATCATCAGCAAAGATAATACTAACATGAATCATCTCTGTGACTTCTGCAATACATTGCTGTCTTGCACGCAGTTCCGTTGACAAAGCCTCTCTCAACAGTGTAGGAGGTTCAGGTACAGTGACATTCAGAGCTGTTGACATTAGCAATAAGACCTGCATATAGCATAAAATTGTTGAATAACTTTTAGACTTTATGGCAATCATTATTCTGGAAAACCTAAGGTAGGGATGAAGTGTTTGCATGTTAGACACAGAGAGAGTAGTAACTAAGTGCATAGGGTATCAGCCCTGTGTTTAAGTAAAGTAACTTTAAAATTTTTAAAAATAACTGAACAGAGATCAGTAGTATTTAAGTACATAAAGTTTTAGCCTAATGTTTAAGTATTAGATAGACTGTTGGCGCATGTTGATTCTTTGACTTGCAGTCAAAGTTACAACAATAATATATAAATGTAAATAAGATTTTGGGTTAAAGGTTTATGGTTTGGACGTGTTTCAGGGTAAAGTTTAGAAACAACCCTGTGGCCAGGCCTAATTATATTGAACCCCAAGTGGTTTTCTTATTTTTCTTTTGTTAATACTTACACACACACCTTGCGGTTTGCTTCATATTTTTAAGGAAAACCATTACTTGCACACTGACAATTTGCCCCTTCTCCTTAGAATATAAGATTTTACTCAGCCAAAAAAAGAAAAAAGAAAAAACAACGTTGGATCAAAATACTTTATGTATCCTAATCATTCTTCAAAACTTTTACCTAATTTTGAGCAAAAGACAACTTCCCTCTCCTAATCCTTCTTCAAAATTTTGAACGAATGTGAGCAAACAAATCTCACACAAGGTCAAGATTGAAACTGTACCTGTACCATCAAACAGATTCCATTGTTTTCCTCTTGAATGGTGCTATTGCCACCCTCAAACTACTCACCCCACCCACCTTTTTAAGATAAATTTTAATTACAATTTTATCCTCCTGCAAATTACCTAAAAGGACATGTTTGAGATTCTAAATAATAACAATAATGATTGTGCCCCATAGCAGCTGCCATCGGTGCAACACCCTCTGCTCGCATGTAGGGTTGCTGCCATCAAAAGCTAGCAAACGACGAGACAGAGCATTAGGATTAAGGGTACTTTAGTAATATTGGTGAAGTAGGATGAATAAAAAAAATTCCTCAAACTGTTGTGAGGGGTGGGAAAAGCAAGGGAGTGGCTGAAAATAGGCTTCACTTTTCCCCCTTTATTAAACTACAGGGAATACAAGCATAACAAAAGAAAAACTAGAGGGTAACCATGTATATAGGTCTAGCCACAAGGGGTGTGTAATGTAAGTAAGAGATAACCTTTCAACTTGAGGTGTGAGCCTCAAGTCACTTACGGCTAGATAGAGCAATGAACTCAAAGAGTTTTAAAAGATTTGTGATAGTATTACATATAAAACCAAGGACACTGCAATAAAAACAAGCCATATATCCATTCAACCGGATTTTCCTAACAATAGGTGACATGAACTTAGAGACAGAAGATAAATTGCTATCCAGGTATAGAACATCTTGATATTCAGTGAAACAGAGACCCTATTTTAAAGAAGTACTCAGCAGCAGATGCAAGCTTAGGGACCTGAAAAGAAAGAAGATCAGTTATGATCTATGATATTACATTTGAATCTTATGAAACCATTAATATCAACTTTCCCTTTCAAACATATACATCCTTAGAGTAAAATTAATTAAAGCCAAAGGAGAAAGAAATTACATATACCTCAGCAACTACCATGTCCCGCAACCTGTCAGCAATAAGTGACAGCTCATCGGAAACAAGGGAGAATGGGTCAAGTGGTTCCTGTAAGGCAGTATCTAAGCATCTTAATAGAATGTACAAAACAAATATCTTTTACCAAAAAAAACAGAAAAAAACAATAAACAAATAAACAAATAAACAAAACTCACTAAGAGAAAGAGGCATAAGCCAATTTAGCATCGAAAAGTTAAAATTTATCTTCTTTGTAATTGTACTACAAACAACAATACATCATTCATACATTCATCCAGAGGCTGATCACATACCCTAACGACTTAAACTTTTGCATAATCAACCAGGAATCAAGGAAAAAAATGTGTCTTTTGAACACTTGGGAACTCAAAGCTTTCACACTTGGCATTGAACGAACAAATGGGTATGTAGCAACCAAAAGAAAAGTAAAAATATTAATACCCAACACCTCACCTCAACTATGGAGCTGCTTTGATGGTGAATTTGGTGCCTATAGCCATGGAAAACAGGCGGCAATCCCAAAGAAAAGAAATCTCTGCAACCCAAAATCTACTAACATACACTAATTAAAGCAGTGAAATATATATAGCACTTAAACAATAAATCTAAAGCTTTATGGACCCAAATTACCTTCTGGGTCGATTCACTTAGAGACTGAGAATAAATGCTGGAGACAAATAATTGATGTGCGTCCATACGACGAGAGAGCAAACACCGACACAACCCATTGAAGCTGTTTCTTCCAATCCGAGAAAATCCCCGAGAAAATAACATTTTTTGCTTCCCCAATGAAACTATAAACGATTCAAAAGGACGAGTTGCCGATAGCGAGAGAGCAAGAGAGAGAGTTACAGCGTGCGTGTGTGTGTTTGAGGGGTTTTTGGGAGAGGTCGGTCAAAGTGGAAGAACATAATCGACTTTGAGTTTATGTGTAAGCGCCACAACCACAACGGCCAAACAGAGCCATGTAATAAAATGCGCACTTTCACTTTCTAATTTCTATTAAGGGTTAGTTTAGATTTGCTAATTCGACGCTCCCCATTTTTATTTATTTATTTATTTCAATCATTGAGTTTTCTGAAGGTTTAGCTGCTAATACAGGGGAAATTTGCAATCTTTTTTGACTGGTTGTTTAGGTTTCATATCCACATAAGAAACAAATAGTTAAGACATTTTCCTTTGAACTTTGGAAATTTAATTTAGACAGTTTCTTAGCCCTGTCAATATTTTTATATTTTTATATTTTAGAATTTATTGTTGGATATTGACTTTTATTCTTTTTTTGTTTTTTTAATTATTTATATTTTGATAGACTATTATTTTATGTATAACTAGCGTGGAGGACCTACTGGTGTAGTGGTTTTGAGTAATTGCTCCCCACACAAGATCCTGGATTCAAATTCATGTTATGAGTTTAGCATATTATCGCTACTATAAGTAAGAAAGGTTTAAAAAACACAAAAAAGCTAAAGTAAACTCGCAAAGTGAAGTAGCCACTTGGAACCCTCGGCCAACAAAATTATTCACAAACAGCTTTAAAAATTATCCAAACTGTGCAAGTACACAATCTAAGATGACCTTGTAAAACAAAATAAAAAAAGTAGAGTCTTGAAGATTTGCAAGGGGAGAAAGAAGAGAGGACAAATTGGCATAGCTTGGCTCATCTCATCCACCCCCAAATTCCCTCAGCAACTCCCTGAACTCATCATCAGTGCTCTTGAGCATCAATGGCAGAGGCACTTCCACTCCCCTCTGCACAACCTCCATGTGCCTTGGCTTTATCCTCTTCTCCAGGCTGAAAGCAAAGTACTGAGGAAATTGCTTCAGCTCCTCCAACTTCTTCCCCATGTCCGCAGAAAAGTATTCAAACTTTGGCTTGAAGTTATTCTCAATGCTGAAAGTTAGCAGTCCAGGACACCTCAGCACCATCCCCACAGCCTCATCTCTTGGGAATCCTAAGCTCTGCAAAAACTCCAGTTTGGGGATTAGGGTTTTCTCCACACTTGAAACCAGCAGCACAGAGTCATGGTAAGCCAGGGCATCCAGGTCCTTGAACCCAAGTCTCTGAAGATAAAACAGAGCTGGCTTGAGCTGGTCTATTACACTGCAAGCAAGCAATCTGGGGCACTTGTTGATGACCTTTCTGAAGCTGTGTTCTGGGACTTTGAGGTCTTCTGAGAGGAAGATGAAAACTGGGTTGAGGTCACTTTTGATGCTGGAGGTGAGAATGTTGGGGCACATGCCAAAGATCTTGGGCAGGTCCTTTTGGTGGATGCCTTTGGATTGGAGGAAGGAGATTATGGAGTGGATGGAGTGAAGAGAGGCTGTGTGGAGAGAAGGGTTTTGGGAGAGTGCCTTGCCTGCATCAACTCCCATGATTTCAAGGCATAGGATTTTCTCTTTGAATTGGAGGGAGAGTTTGGTATGGGTGGGTGTGTAGAGAGGGTGCTTTTGGAGGAGGGTTTTGGGTTTTGCAGCCAATTGGGCGTTTGTGCTTGTGTTTAATGCCTGGGAATTAGAGGCAGTAGATGATGATGATGATGGAGGATTATGAGAAGAGAAGCACAGAGATGACTGCAAAGCTGCTGCTGCTGCTGTTGTTAATGGCATGGTTTTTGGAGGGGAGAGAGAGAAGGGAGGAGATGGCCTTCTTTTGGAAATATCATCATCTGAGTGGTTTTAATGGTATGGGACTGTGAGGCACACCTGGCAATTTGCTTGAATATGATTGGTTGAGTTTGGATTTCATAGATTGTTTGGGATTAAATCCAGACCAAAGCAATTTATGCTGCATCCAGTAAACTTACAAATTTGCCTTTCCCTCGCACAAGTCACAATATCAGTGGAAACAAGATTGAGAGCCTTGGATTTAAGAATTGCTTTTCATTGCAGATCATGTTCTTCCTTCCCCTTGCTTCTTTTTATATGTAATCTTTTCTAGTAGGAAGGAGCTAATATGAAGCTTGTATAGCAACCAATTTTTTAATTACCGCTAGTTTTAAACAGAAAAATATATGTTAAATTTGTGATGACATATTTACATAAATCTAATTCCCCGTAGTGAGAATAGCTATTAAAAGTACAAAATTTGCAAAATAATAATAATTTTTTGAACTTAAATGAACACATTAGGACAAAGGGGGAACAAATATTTAGTCTCTCAAGCAGAAACCCATATTTGCAGTCTAAGATGATATAACATTAAGGCAAGTTGCGGGGGATTACAATTGTTCGAACATGTCCAGATCCGATCGGTCCATCACATCACTAATTTTCTAAGTAATAGTAAACCAAAGAAAAAAATATATATATCTTGAACAAAAATACAGACAAGGAAGTTAACTCTGCATGAAAATGCGTCTAAAGTTACATACCAAAAAATGCATCTAAGATTCCTGCTTTTATATAAATTACACCACCATAAGGAGGGGCAAAGGGGGTGCGGCTCCAGTGAAACTTGCTCTTCAAGTTCCTTACGACTTTGAGCGAGTTTTCTGATCCTACGAAGAATGCATAAATGAGTATCATTAAAATAAAAAGCGCCGTCGAAAAAGATTGTTTGCTTCCCATGAAGATATATACAAGGTGCACAACAGACAGTTCAACTGGGACTCCGTAATGCATCAGCAAACGTCAGACAAGGCGTGGCTGATGCTCATTTAACTGTAATTGCTTTATATTATAGAAGCTGAAACCCAACTGCTAAAATTATGACATCAAAAGTTTCAAACAACAGAAAGACAACGTGGCCCAAATAAGTTTAGTTAGTCTTCCTGTACCCAATGGACATGTTATTGATAACTGAAATACATTTAATTTCCAAAAGAGAAAATAATGTCCTACTACCAATGTATATCCAATCATGCAACTACCTAGACTGAAAATTGCAACATCATCATACTTAGCAATTAGCAACAACAGAAGTTGAGTTTCCTACCCATCATATTCACACGGAGCATAAACAATCTAGAAGCTTCTAGTGGGAGCATGTGCATAGTATGTGTGTGGGTGGGTGGTAGTCTTAATCATTTGATCGAACTGTAACTTCTTGACAGAAGATAAAACCAGGTGTTTCCTAATCATCAGTCTTTTCAAGAGAATTAAAAGAGCTTCATTCTAGTGAAACACTTACATGTAATTGGAAGTACCTTCACTGCTCATCTCAATGTTGCCCCTGGCTTCGACTCGTAGAGTGGTGTCGAAGGAGCTTCTGGCCAGGGTTTTGGTGTTCATCCTGTAAGTAGAAATGCAATCAATGCATATGGCGCAACAAGAAGATATTGTTCAAATGGTACGGGGAAAAGAGAAGCTGGTTAAACTATAAATGTTGGATCAGAGGATGCACACACCTAATTATAAATGTAGGATCTATAACACCAAACCAAATTATAAATGTGGGATCTACAACACCAAAGTATAAATATAAAAGAAATAAACCTTGTATAAAGATGCTGCTGACTCAGACTGTCCCGTTTGAATTGCAGCCTGCCCCAGAGAACGCAAAGCATCAAGCGCATCTAAGGTCAGCTGCCAGCCACAAAGTGCAACAACATCAGCACTGGTACCAGGGCCACAGCCACTACTGCCAGCAGCAGCAACATTCCCATTGACCCAGGGGCAGAACTGGTTGTGATGGCCAATTGGATCAAATTCCATAGGTTCTTCATAATTGCTCTCACCTTTTGGAGGTCCTGAATAACCAAATAGAGTTAACATAACACCAATCAAAAAGCATACAAATATATATAAATGACTAAATCCTTTTTAACATATATTTAAGATTTTAAACTGTCAGTCACAAATATCTTAAGCAGTAAGCATCACTTTTCAACTTCAATAACAAAAGTCAATGAAGAAAAGGTATTGCTCTAAAAATCTTAATCATTCACCACCCCTAAAAGTAAACATAAGAAAGAATAAAAGAAACTGTCTTCATATTCGTACAAAGTTTCTTTAGAAGAATTGGGAGGTGAGATATGATACAGGAACATAACTGCCCAAAATATAGATTTTTACCTATCCCATTGGCAACTGCATATTCTGATTCTTGGTACACACAATTGTTCGTAAATGAAGATTTGCCAGCATTTTTGACCTCCTTTTTGGTTGTTCTATAATTGGAGTAAACATTAGCATTGCATGAAAGAGAAGGGCGGGCATTGTTCTCTAACTTGCAGCTTCGACTAATCTTTTCACCACTTTCCACAGATTCAGCCTTAGTAGACCCATCAACCTTTGAGCCACTATCAGCCCTCCCTACAGATCGAGATAGCATCTCCTGGCTATCACCATGTGGATCTTCCCTATTTATTTCATCAGGAACAATTTCATCCATCAGTCCAGGATCTGGGGCAGATTCGCCTGTCTGGCCCTGATTTTCAGCATCTTCTGTTCTGGGCTCCACATCACCAACTACACTATCTGCTCTATGGACAGATACATCAGCCCCGTGAATCTCGGCTTCATGACTAGCACACATTCCAACACTTCCTCCACTAATCCCGAAACTAAACCCATCCCGCGCCTGAGCAGTCACGGTTTCTGTGTTGAAAATTTCTTCCCCATCATTTGTACTACTAACACCCATTTCCCCAGGAATCACATCAGCAACAGGTTGGAAACCAATGCTCTGCTGAGCTTGATTACTATTATTCAATTCTGATGTATCATTCATGTCCAGATTTCCATACGTACTAGAAGTGGGGAAATGAGTATCATAATGAACATCATCAACATCTCCCGGGTAATTTTCAACACTTTCCATAGAGTCATCATCCGTACCGTGACAGATTGTATCCATTGCAATAACTGATGACGCACGTGCCGAATCCCTATTCGAATGGATTCCTGCAAATTGATCACTACCTTGCTGAAACGAAGCAACTCTATTACCATCAGCATAAATTTCAAGACCCATTGAATGACTCGGACCAGCACCAGATGAACAATGTGTATCGAAAATATCTGAATCACGAGCACGTTTTGAAGGCCCAGCTGAATATTGTCCACCATCAGTAACTTCATCACCATCACGATCAATGACAGTTCCTTCAACACTATCAGCCTGCTGCGTCCTTAAATGTGGCCTATCAACAGAGCTGCCACCTTTTTCCAAACTCCGTTTACGAGAGCTGGGACCCCTTGATTCATATGAAGCTGCACGATCACCAACCTCACTGCCTGCAGGTTGCCCAATCATCAGATCCCTTCCCATATCTACATCGTGAATGTTTCCAGACATTTCTGTTCTGCCGAATTGGTTAAAAGTGAAACCACCTCCCATTGTGAGATTCAAATCAACATCTGATTTTGGAACCAAACTCCCCCCAGTTGTTGTTGCTACCTCATCACGGTCTTCAGTCTGTTCTTTCTCTGCATCATCAGCAGCAACCCAACCACTAATCCCGCTGGCTGCACTTGCCCCACGTGTCAATCCCATTTTCTTGCTTGTGTCAGGAATATCAATGTTGTTGGGAGTAAATCGTGCAGGGCGAGGAATGGTTAAGAAATCCAAAATTCTAACTGTAGCACCACATAAGCTGCAATCTAGTAAAGGTGACCTGAGATCACCTCTGGATTCCTTAACTAACACTTTATTCTTTCCAGCATCCTTTCTAGCAGAAGCAGAAACTGCTTTCTTGCTTGATCCAGGTTCCTGTGAAAGATGGATCTGGGCATACGTAGGCCCAATGGAATATCCATTCCTAGCTGATTGGGCTGAATGCTCTTCACAGTCTTGAATATTCAAAAGCCATCTCGGTTCCCATCCACAAAGACTTATAAGCCTCTGAGCCTGATAAAGGAAAGGAACTGGGTTAGAAGAACATGTAATCGAGTAGTACGTAATTGACCAAGTCAACAAATCACAAGCAGGAAGTTCATAAATAAATCTTACACGAGAATATAAATAGATTGCTCCATCTCGGGAGCTTTCCAGTTCTGGTATACTTTCTGATTTAAAATCTACTTCCCCTCCCATAAGATTCTGCGACTGGGACAGAAAGCGATCAACCTGTGGACCCCGAGAAACCCACATTTGCTCAACTGCAGATGCAGCTACTTTAGGTAGAGAGTGGAATTGCAAAAGTCCATCACATCTATCCTTATATCCCCCAATTAAGGCAGACTGAGGGGTAGGAGGGAATTGCACCAGGCTTTCTGGGCAGCTGTTTCCTCTCCAAGGACAAGCAACTTTGTGACCAGAATCCAGCTGCTTGACAAAGACTTCTGCTGCATTTTGAACTTCACATTGAAATGAAAAGGAAAGAACAAAAAAAAAGATTAAAAAACAGGAACAGACAAAGTTATTGTATTCTTAACTAATTTTTTTATCAAAAGGAAAATAGGAAGGCAAATAACTTATTCTAAAACTGAAGATTTGCATTATTATACTATATTTTATAAGAAACAATAATTCTATTAACAAGTGAAAGGAGAAGTACATAGCATGGTGGGCAAGAAGTCCAACAGGAAAACCCAAGTAAAAATAGACAAGACCACACTAATCCAAACAACACTTAGCCCCAAACAGCATACATTGGATCAAACCACAGGGGACATCCTTCAAACGCTTAGACAAGGTCACAGGGAAGCCTAACTTGAAGCAAGGAATTCAACTCTGTCCCACAGTTTGGACTACAGCAACTTCCAGTTAGATGGTAATTTTGCAACCATCAAATATAGATATTGTAAACTAAACAACCACTTGAAACCAAAATAACATAATGCATTAACAATATAAGAAGTCACATTCTTAGCGGAATGTTTCAATTTTTTCTTACAATAAATGCAGAGCATGTAGGTCTATAAACATAAACTTTAAACAACAATGCTTAAAAATCAAATAACTAGAAAGCCCCTAAGACAGCAGTAGCTAACCTTCATCAGGAGTCCAAGATGGCAATAAAGAAAAACCCAGGGATGCATTGCATGATTCACATGCAATCTTATCAACATCAACATTCACCCAACCTCTCCGAGCACATGCCAATGAACTGATGACCTGCAGGCAATGACAAAAGCAACAGTTAGACGCTATGAAACATATTAAATGTCAAAAAGCTTCATTTGAGTAACATTATAAAATAAACTCATAATTTGAGCTACAAATCACAATAACCAGTTGAATATTTAAAAATATCACCATACATTTCATCTTTCTATATAAATCCCTTGATATGACAATTCTATAGCCCAAAAAAAAAAAAAAAACAACAAACAACAAAAGAAAAGGTATTTCATTTCGATAACATATAACTAAAATATAAAAAAATGTAGAGTCATTATACATATATATATATATATTCATATAATAGGTATATATTTATGTGTATGTATACATGCACACATTTATGCATCGAAATGACTTTATAATGGAAGTATCAGTGTTGCAAAGTTTACCGTTACAACTCAAATAAGTACAGAAAGACTTCAGATTGAAAATGTTTGTTTATGGAAATAATAGCTAAAGTGAAAACCTTGGGCTTTGCAAACCAATTTGAAGGCTTAAAGGTAGCTAAGCGACGCAGTAAGTCTCCTCTTTCCCAAGGTCTACACGACAGTCTTGATGATCCAAAAACAGAACTACCCCCACCACCACCACCAGCAGCACTCGTGCTCAAAGACGTCATTGGGGGTTGTGAACCAACACAAGATATAGATGCTCCTTTGGAGCCTTGTCCATGAATAGACCCATCTACACTCCCCACATTTGCCGGAACAGTCGGTGAAGAGGCCCCCGCCGAACTAATAACGCAGAAATGAAACATATATAAGGAAAATCGAATTAACAATAATACATGTAATAAATTGTAACTGAGTAGAGTGTAATTCTTTCACCTAGAAAATAACAAAAGCTTAATCTAAATTAAGCTGAAAAAACATGTAACACTTGGTAATTTAGCTGAAATTCGTGCACTCCACTTTCACAGTAACCAAACAGAAGCGTGAATTGACCAATTCACCACAGAAATAACCAAAACCCTAACACTGACAACACAAATTGGTATACTACACTCACAGCTCGAACCAACAGCAAGCAAATGCAAAACCCTAATTAGATCAGCAAGAGAAATTGAAGGAAAACGAAGACCGAAAAGCCTTGTGAACAGGGAGACCGAGAGAGAAGAGAGCAAGGGGAGGGATAGGGTACCTGGCAGCAGGAGTAGGATCAATGGTCCCTCCGGAGCTGATGACCTCCTCTCTCATGGTCGTTGATTTTCCCCACAATTTTTTTCGAAAGCAGAGAATGGGAGAATGCGTACTGGCAGCTCGTTTTATAGCGAGTACCGAATGCGTGGCGCGTAAATGATACTCACTATTTTTTTTTTTTCCTCTGGGCAAATCTGGGTTGGGTTTTACGGGTCCGACTGATGGATATGTTGGGCGGGGCGGGTTCGGTTTGAAATTTCGTTGGTCGGACCTCACTACTGGACAATGGGACTAGACGAGCCTGGTTGGCCTTGGACAATTATTTTATATAAAACTTTTATATTTATTTATTAATATCTTACCTAAAACTTGACAATATGATTTTTATTGATATTTTTTATTCAAGAGTTTTTTTAAAAAAAATATATATATATGTTTGCGTTGCATTCAACGGTTGAATTTGGAATTTACCAACAAAGCGAATCATCTGACTGGATGGGATTCAATGCTTCCCAAATTACTGGACCAAAAAAAAATGTTGAAATCGCCAAAACTATTCTGAAAACTTTAAATCTCAAGTGATGTGTTTATATCTTTTTTTCTTTGTGTTTTGGTGTTGATGCGTTTATATTTCACTTTGTAAGATTACTATTTTGAAGTGCCAATAACAACTCCATACTCCTTTATCGATCACAAGATATTACGAAAACATACCTCGAATACTCTTTATTTTGCACCCCAAGTTGAATCCAAAAGTAAATAAACATAGAAAGAGGGGGACGAAGAGAGGATGAACAACTGTTTGATTACATATTTTCCCTGCGGAATGTGTTTGTATTTGTAGAGAGAAATTAGATTTCACGTTTTATTTTGTTCTCTCTCAAAGGATACAACAACAACTAACAAGTATAATACATTCAATTCCCAACCCAAACTGCACCAAGTATCTAACAAATGACTTCTGAATGACAGGTTCACTCAAAGCAAATACCCCAAGTACTTTTTATAGATAATTCTGCAAGCCATACTATCTGTATTCATTCAACAACTGACATCTGATGAGGTTCACTCAAATTTTTTGAATAAAGAAACAGAAAATATTGACGAAACCCATCAGTATGTTCTGTCAAGGAAGCCAATCATCAAGATGGCAGAGCACGGGCACCGGCACCTGCAGGAGAAAAGGTGTCTGAGGGTCTTGCTTTCAAAGTGATTATTAGGAAAGGAGAGCAAGACACTATGATTAATCCTTTGAGTTTCTACAGATGAGGAATTGAGACTTACCATCTTCTGCTTCCTTCCTGGATTCATCTCCTGATTTCCAAACAATATCTTTCAGCCCCGTCGACAGGTTCTTGTAGAACTGTAAATTTAAGACAGTCGAGTGAAAACATGCAAATGAAAAAAATTCACAACACAAAACAAGAATAAAAAGGATTTGTGCATGCTCTGTTGTAACGGGAGTTTTAAACATTATGTAAGCAGCAGCTAGATGGGCAATAAACCTAACGTTGTAGGGACTAATAATACATGTCCGATCCTTGAGTGGCGCTCTACATCTTCTTACTTTTACTTGAAAAATCAAAGAAAAGAAAAAACATGCATGGCCAAACGTGATCAGTCTGGCCTGTCTGGCTCAACCCGGTAAAACTCAATCTGGTGCTGACTTTCTAGGCCGATGGGTATACCAAACTCAGACTGAAAATAATTCTCACTTCTATATCCAGCCCACATCATGTGGCCATATGAGGATAAATCCTCTTATTTAAATCAGCATAAGATTCCCTTGCCATTTGCTGCTTGCTATGTAATAAAGCAAGCGGGGTGCCGACCCAGCTTTAGCCCACCAACTGCTAGCAATTAAATTTTGCAAGCAACAGGTGAAGCCCAGAGGCTATTATTTGTGAAGAGCCCCTAATCGCTCTTAATTAGATGAATATACAATACTTATTAGATGCCACAATTGCATCAACATTGCAATAACATACGTTGTGAAATTCCAGAGTGTCTCCCCCAGACTTGCGGAGCTCAACCATGTAGAGTGATGGGGCCACCTCAAAAATCTGAAAAAGAAAGTTTGTTTGTATCCCATTTGTCAAAAGGGGCGTCAACTCAACAGGAAAAAAAGAAAGTGAAAGGTCTGAAAATGAAAGAGGCATACCTCTGTTGCAACAGATAAATGACCTTTACGTCCAGTTTTTTCACCTTGAAGCTTCAACTGAGATGGATAAAATGAAATGAGGTTGTGTTACATATAGATGCATTTTCCTCAGCTTTAAATTATGTTACCAATCATGCACAGAGAGAGAGAGACAGAGAGAGCAGTCATTGTACCTTGAAGTTATTTTTCTTTACACCAAAACCCAAAGGTCCTGCAGCTTCCTCAATTTTCGAAATTATCTCATTAGCAGGACGTTTGGATGTGAATCTTGTTTCTCTTTTAACAAGTTCCTGGTTAGTTAAGGAAATGTCAGCCGTCTTCTTAAATTTTACGCAAGCAGAACCAAAGAGGAAAAGATAAGACTTGCTAATAATGCAAACAGAGAAACTACAATGTGAAATATAACAATTACAATTTTACTTTTTTTATATTAAAAAAAAAATTTGACCATACCATTTTTTTCTCAAAAAGACTATTGAGATTCAGGCCCTGGGATGTAGAGATAAGCTCAAAGGCATTCATCGTGACAGGTGCCACATTTTGTACTTCTCGCCTCTCCACTACAAGGTTTTGAGATTCCTGTGCTTTGGAAGAATAGAGTAGATAGTCAAGCCCTGGCATCATAAACCATAGTAAATCATAATACATAATGTCTCACTCTTACCCCTGATTCATTGAATATAGAATCCACGTCATCAAGACTGACATCAACTTGTTCAAAACTAGGTGGCTTATATCCTTTCTTAAACCACTCATTCTCAATGACCTCAGCAATTGTAATTCTCTGTTTCATAAAATTAGCTTGTATGGTAAATGCAACATATAAATAATAGTACAAAAAACAAATTGAAACACCTGGAAAAGGGAAAATTCTATATTATAAGGGAAAAGGACATACTGCAAAGGGGTTAGGATCCAATATTCTCTTAATTAGCTTCTTTGCACTTGAGGAGAACCATGGAGGACATGTGAAGTCGGCCTTGAATATCTGGTGGTCACATAAAAACCATAGATGTAAAACAAGGATAACACTGCCATAGGATGACAAAGCAAAGTAAATTTAAAGAGGAAGAATTAATAGGTAGGAGAGAAAGAGAGAGATTCACCTTTTTGTATAATGCCATGAGGTTGGAATCTTCAAAAGGCAAATAGCCAGCCATTAAGACGAAAAGAATCACACCACAAGACCATAAATCGGCTTTTGCTCCATCATACCCTTTGTTGTTTATCACCTAGAAAAAGAGTGTCATTAAGTGGAACAGGGTAATAAGAGAAAGAAATAACTGATTAAGCTAACATACCTCAGGGGCAACGTAATTTGGTGTCCCACATGTTGTGTGAAGCAATCCATCTTCCTAAATGAAAGGGATAAGATAATCACTCACATATTCTGTAACAAATAAATGTAAAACTGCCTAATTATTCACCATGGTATATTATGACTATAAGTGTGAGATAGGTATTGTCAAAACAGAATGAGATTCAGAAGCCATCCAGTCCTCACTATCAAATTTTGAATGGATTTAAAGGGTTTACTTTTGCTTAAGGCATTAAGTCATAATACTCACTCGAACTTGCTGAGGTAGTGCACTCAGTCCAAAATCTGAAACTTTCAGAATCCCATTAACATCCAGCAGCAAATTCTCTGGCTGTAATTTACAACCACAACAGTTTAGTCTTACATGGTAGAATAGCTCATCACACACACACACACACACCACACACACACACACACACACAGAGATACATACATACATACATGTATATATATATATATATATATATATATCAACGGGGGAAATCATAATTCCCACCTTTAGGTCTCTATGAAAAACACCTCTGCTATGACAGTAATCCACAGCATTTATAAGCTGCTGAAAATAATTTCTTGCTTCATCTTCTTTCAATCTTCCTTTACTTGCCTGGCAATTGAAAATAGCACAAGGATTCTGATTATATATAATATATCATCAGACGTAAAAAGAAAGTCCAGAAAGAATTGAAATCAGCAATGTCTTACAATTTTGTCAAACAGTTCTCCACCAGTCACAAATTCCAAAACGATGTATATTTTTGTCTTGCTAGCCATCACCTATACCATAAACACAGCAGGAAGTCACTTCCAAGTACCAAAGAAAAGTAGAGAGAGAGAGAGAGAGAGAGAGAGAGAGAGAGATAAATGGGACAATAAAGAAACACTAGAATATAAATATAATGGTTTAAAATAAATCACAGTTTTAAAACTCCGCATGGGAAAAACTGCACCACCTCCTCGTACATGTTTGTTTTGATAATGATTAAAAACATGTACAAGTATATGCCGAACATGTATTTTATCCCAGATAATGATTAAGAAAACAACAAACTTCTAAACTATTTTCTAAGAATGCAAATAGAAAACATTAGGAATCCAAAAGGAGAGGACAAAACAACAATTAATACTCATTCAATTTTATAAATCAAAATAAAATACGGATATTGCTTTGTCTAACCTCATACATACGGATGACATTCGGATGTCTTATTAATTTCATCGTTGATATTTCTCGTTTGATCTGCAAAAGGAGAGGGCATAACAACAATTAATACTAATTCAATTTTATAAATCAAAATGAGAACAAAAATGACCATGAAAATAAAATTATTACTTTTGTTTCTTAAATTAGCTTTATAAGTACAGATGTTAAAGATATCAAAAGGGCAAGGTGAGGGTAACAAAAGCATATCTGTCAAGTCAGACCATGTGATTGGCTTGTTTCTTATTGGTTGGAATTAATCTCAACTAAACCTTTATTCCAAAAATCATTGGAGTTGGTACATCTACTAACATGGTATGCTGATAGCAAACTGACATCGATTCAATTTCAGATGTTAGTCAAGTTTAGCTGGGTTTTCCAACATCCCACAAACAAAGAACCTCCAAAGGCAACTCACATGATAGTTGCAATGAAATGCTCACATTCCATTTCTTCTTCCTTTATTTTTCCACAAGTATATGCTTTACGAAATATCTAATATAAAACAACAGCAGTAGAGGTTATATTACGTAAATTGTGGAACTTAAATATGTTTAAGAAAAATCATAATCTCTCTAATTCAACTTTGATTGTGAATCTTTAAATCTCTCTTCGTTTCTCATAAGTTAACTTGGAAATTAAAAATAAAGAATTATTTTAAAACTATACAAAATTTTTCAGTGTCAAGAAAGTCAATAAATTTCTTATAAATACACAAATTTCTCCAAAGTCAAAGAGTCAATAAAACAGTTATAATCAAACAGTTAAATGATTCGGGGTCAGAAAACGACAAACTCAATCCAGTCGTGCGTGTTAATCTCTCCGAAGTTGACTTTTTTTTTTTTTTTTTCCCCTCACTTCCTCTCCTTGTTATTAACTTAGCAAATAAAACTAAAAAATCCCCTGATTCTTCCTCCATTTTCTAACCAACCAAACAGCGGATTATCCAACATTACAATCTCCAGAACATCATTAAATTAACAGGAAACACAAAGGGAAATTAGTAAAAATGATTATTAAAAAAAATTAACCTGGCCGATCATCTTGTGCTTGAGGACCTTTTCCTTGTCGAGTATTTTAATGGCGAAGTTCTCACTAGTCTCGACGTTGCGAGCGAACTTGACCTTGGCGAAATTGCCCTCCCCAAGGGTCCGACCCAACTCGTACTTCCCGACCCGGGTCCTGCTGCCAGTCGCCGACCTCGACGCCATCTCCAATCTCTTTCACTCTTTCTCCCCCCTCTATCTCTAGAATCTTCCAAATCGTTCCTCTCAAACTTTCCTTTCCAAATTTTAATACAGCGTTCCCTCTACCTCTTCTTCTTGCAAGGCTGCCAAACCTGAGACTTCGTCACTCTCATTCTTCCTTTTTATGTTTTGATCCAAAAAAACAATAACAAAGCCCTAATTCTCTGAGCCAATCAATCCCCAAATCGAGGTTCAAACTGGGAAAGAAGAAGCCTTTAAGCCAACACCGAAGCACGAGGTTGAAGAAACGTTGGCCGTTCGATCCGACAAGAACCCCATCAATTCGGTTCCCTAATTATGAATCAAACGGATGCTGATGATGATGGCGGTGATGCATGCACAAAACTGAAAACTTTGTTTTGGAGCAAAAATCAGAAATAGGTTGATTGGGCAGCGACCCGATGGGGAGATTGAATCAGGGCCGTCGATCTGATCTCTTATCTCTGTGTTTGCTGTTTTTGGTAAGAAATGGGGAACAATGGCAGGCTTCAAATTGAATGTATCGAATATTTTGGGCGATGATTGGGGGGATGGAGAGGTGATGGGCTTTGGACTTTGTATTGGTTTCTTCGTGTCTATACGAGGAAGGCTCTATCTGAGGACATTTTATAATTTACTTTTTGGAGGTTTGGGAGGCTGAGAAGTTGGAATTCCCTGCTTTGCAGCCCACATGTTCTCGACTTCATCTCTCTTTGGTCTTATAAAGTATCGGCTGTGATGTGCCATATAGCTTGTGTGGGTTGTCATTTTTTTTTTACTTAGACAATTGATTGCATTTATAATTCAAGCACAAACTCCGTCAACTACAAAAACCACTACAAATACATAGCGCATTAATCACGAAAAGTTTATCTAAATAGGAAGGATTCCACCGGCTCCACACGTAGCCATAAAGGGCCAATCATGTGTGGTCTCAATTTTTAAAATTAGTTTGTTCAATCATGTGTACAATCTCACTATTTTAATTCAAAATTTTCAATTATATATCAACATTAATTAGGGTAGCAATTAAATTTTATTTGTTTCCCTCATCTTTCTTCTTATCCACTTTTTTTTTATTGTATTATTTGTTAATTGTCGTTTGTTCAATGAATAAGTAAATATATCGAGATTTTTAATATTACTTTTATGTGAATTATCGATTGATCATTATTTTTTATTCATCATGACACAAGCATTATTTTTATGTGAATTTTCAATTGATCATTATATTTAATGCATCATGACACAAGTAGGGGTGGACATCTTAAACCGAAATACCGAAACCATACCCTAACCGCACCGTACCATATCGATTTCATACAGTTTCATTTGGTATGGGGAGATATTCGGCACCGTACCAATAGAATATAGTATGATAGTGGTATCAAGATTTTGGTACCGGTCAATACTGTATCGTACCGAATAGTATAACTTTATGTTTTTGTCATTTATGTTTGGATTGTGTTTGTATTTTTGTAAGTCATAAGGTATAATTTTAACTATTTTGGTTTATAAGCCATAATGCATGAGTTTTAACCATTTGTGTTTGATGAATTTGTTGATGGATAAGTATTGATTTGGTTGATTTGGATATTGAATATGTTGATTAGGATTTGGATATTGAATATGTTGAATCTTTGAATTTGTAACTTAGGCATCACTTATTTTGGTGTTGAATATTGAATTGGTTCCTTTTTTTAGTCGTATCATTTTGGTATCGAAATGATACCGATACTGTACCGATATCGATTTGGCACGGTACGGTACGGTACCAGTTTTGGCAAACCATAATCTCATACCGTACTATACCGATTTAAATTTCCGGTATCGGTAGCGGTACGGGCTCAATACCGTACTATACCGTGCCGTGCCCACCCCTATACACAAGCATGAAACAAACAAGTCACAACACAACGCGAAATAAGACTGAACTATAAGTATAAACAACCTATTATGCGTTACGCGACAATGTTCGTTTTTGGGCTTCCTTTTCAGCATTGAGTTTCCCTTTAGACCCTTACTTCTGTTTTGTTCTCTCTCTTGTTATCAACTAGCTCTTAATTTAATGATAATTTTACTTCCAATATTGAAAGAGATATGATAATTTTACTTCCAATATTGAAAGAGATCGAATCCTTCCCGTTGATGAAGACAAGAAACCAATTGGGTTATGAATTTTGGGCTGCCTGAAAGCCCGAAACACTACTACTGCAAACCTTTTGTTTTTGGTCGAACCCAAACTTTTAAGATTGCGTTTCTGGTCCAGGCCTCTAATGCATTGGGCTTCGTTGAAGTTCAAATATAAATTCCCATTCTATTTCCTACCTCAATTTTTGTTGGCCAGCTAGTCCCCGTCTTTGAAACTTGTTTCTAAAACCCTAGAATGAGCCATTGATGAAAGGGTTTTAGTTCAGGCAAAGAAAACAAAATCCCTGAAGCTGGTTCTTAAAAATTTGAAGCAAGCATCAAAAGCTGTTCATAATTGTTAAAAATGGGTGCAGAAGAAGATAAACAAAAGAGCATACCAGTTCTGCCATGGATGCGAAGCCCAATTGATGTCAGTTCCTTTGACGAATGCCCTCTTACTCTCCTTCCTTGCCTTGACCCCAGGTAACCAAACCAATCCAGTTGGCCAAAATTAGCTTCTAATTAGCTTTGTGAAAATTACCCAATTGACAAAATGTTCCATTTCATATTCTACTTTGTGTTATAGAAATACTCACTTCATTTTACTGTGGATTAGGCTGAAGGTGGCTTTGGAGAACATGGAAATCTCTTCACTTTTCCCAGTTCAGCTTGCAGTTTGGCAAGAGACTATTGGCCCTGGATCTTTTGAGCGTGATTTATGTATTAATTCTCCAACTGGAAGTGGGAAGACTTTAGCTTATGCTTTGCCCATTGTACAAATGTTGTCAACTCGCTCTGTTAAATGTCTACGCGCTCTGGTGGTGTTGCCTACTCGTGATTTAGCCCTGCAGGTTTCATGACTTCCCATGAAAACTAACGTTATGAAAGCTTTGTATGGGCCTTTGGGTGTGATATTAACTAAATCAATGATTTTCATGTGTTATTGGATTAGGTTAAAGAGGTTTTTTCTGCAATTGCACCTGCTGTAGGATTATCTGTTGGTCTTGCAGTTGGTCAATCTTCTATAGCTGATGAAATTTCTGAACTTATCAATAGACCTAAGCTTCAGTTGGGTGTCTCTTTTGACCCAGAAGATTTTTTGCCTGAGTTACAAAGCTCGGTGGATATATTGGTGGCTACCCCTGGAAGGCTAATGGACCATATCAATAACACTAAAGGATTTACGCTTGAGCATCTCTGTTATCTTGTAAGTAGGAGATTATGGTACTGCAATTTTCATTCATATGTTGTGACACTGGAATTACAGATATTTCTTATGCTACAGTATATCTTTTTCCAAACTGAAACCTTTGATGAGGCCTGTTATATTTAAAAAATTGTTTCAGAATATGTATATGTTTGATGTGAGTTGAAACAACTTTTTCATAATCTCTTATAATGCAAAGCATACGATGGTTTATAGGTTGTTGATGAAACAGATCGATTGCTCAGGGAGGCATACCAGTCTTGGCTACCCACTGTTCTTCAAATCACTCGCGCTAACGATGAAAGTTTCCTTCCTTGTGCACATACTTTTCTACCGTCCCCATTTTCCTTGAAAACCATAAGGAGATCGTGAGTTCTATGTGCATTTTCTCTTCCCTTGGAAATTTTTATGTTACAGAACTGCATCTTTGTCATGTGGCTTGTGCCAAGCATGGTTTCATACTGACAGTACTGACACACAATTGAGCAATGGTACTGCTCTTTCATAAATGAAACTATAGTTATGACATTTGCCATGTTTTTTAATATTATCTCAAATTTGTTGCAGTGGTCTTGAGAGGGGGTTTAAGGGTAAACCTTACCCCCGGCTTGTGAAAATGGTTCTTTCTGCCACGCTAACCCAGGATCCAAGCAAGCTTGCTCAGCTTGATCTGCATCATCCTTTATTCTTGACGACTGGTCAAAAGCGTTATCAGCTTCCAGTAAAACTACAATCCTATAAACTGGTATTTCATCACCACTCTATTGGCAAACACGAGTCCTTGTGAGAATGGCACTGTTTCGGTTATGCACGGAAGTAATAATGCTTTTTACCTATTTAGTATTTAGGATAAATAGATTAGTGACCTATTTGATGGGATGACAAATGTCTAAGCCTCTATCTAAAATGATACTTTGTAAACCGTAGTCGTATTTTCCTTGCAAGTGTGGGATGATGGCAAGGGTAAGAATGTCTTTCTGTATGGTAGTTGAGTTCTGATTTTACACTAGATTGATTTAGTATCTTTCGGTAGCATAACTAAAATAGAAAATCTAGGCATAATATTTTTATAAATTCTAAAATACGTGTCTAAAGAGAACTCAGTGCCCACTCCTAATTTTATATTCCATTTCTTATCTACAGTTTTGCGAATCAAAATACAAACCACTGTATTTGGTTGCACTCTTGCAAAGCTTAGGAGAAGAGAAGTGCATCGTTTTCACATCATCTGTGGAGTCGACTCATCGTCTATGCACCTTATTGAACTCTTTTGATAATTTGCCTTTCAAGATCAAGGAGTATTCAGGCCTTCAACGGCAATCTGTACGAAGGTAATTTCTGGGCTTTCACTTGTTTTATGTATGTAAATTTAAGGGATACGATAAACAGCAGTCTCTGTCTCTCTACAAATTAGGAGTGTCCTGATGTAGTTAGGTTGTGTTCTCTACAAATAACACAAAGATGTGGACACACACCTAAAGTTGGGATAAATCTGATAAACGGCATTCTGGAATCTGTTTGGGTGTAGTGTCTGTGTTTGTTTATACAAACATGATATTACTATATTTTTAAGAGTGTGTTGATTTAGACTGTGATAGAAACAAACTTTAGGGTCAGTTCAATCCATGGTTTGTGTGGCACAAGCTACTGTCCTGAATGTCAAATCACCTTCCATGATGAAATTTACTCAAGCCTCAAAGGAGGTGACTACTCTTTTTCATGCCGACTCTCATAGGCCAAGAGCCTAAGATTAGTTCTCATTTCCAAGTATTGCTATCCATATAAACACTTCTTATCTGCATCTAAGAAACATGTCCTAGCTTCGATATTTTTATTCCCAATAGATGGCTGTAACTTGTCACAGCATATGGTTATTAGGTTATTTATAAACTGTTGACAAGATCATGACAATGATATTTCTCACGGCAGCAAGACACTTAAGGCATTCCGGAAAGGAGATATTCAAGTACTTGTTTCATCTGATGCAATGACTCGTGGAATGGATGTTGAAGGAGTGAGGAATGTCATTAATTATGATATGCCTGCATACATAAAGACGTATATACATCGAGCAGGTCGGACAGCAAGAGCAGGCCAAACTGGTTGTTGCTTCACATTGTTGCGTGAAGACGAGGTATGTGTTGTCTTGTTAGCCTCCAGACCAACGCACATTCTAGGTGAAGGTTATGTGTGATAAAAAATAGTTGTTACCATATACCATGTGTATCTTTGTTTTTTTTTCCCCTCCTAATTTAGTATTTCCTTCAATTTTTCTATGTCCAAGGGTGCAACTTGGATGGGCCACATGGTCAGTGTCAATTGGCTGTGAGCTTGTCATATAAAGTAGACATTTGGTTTGAGTTTG